GTTCTGTTTAAGATTAGATTAATGAATTGTCCGACAAAGGATTAAGTCAGTCAATCAAGGCAGATTAAGTAGTTAATCAAGGTAGGTTTATAGACCGTATAACACGATAAATACGTTGATCACTTAATTACCTAATAATCCAGCGTATTATCGACGATAATCTGGTTGAGTGGTAGTTATACACTCAGTAAACTATATTAATTTCGGAATTTTGAATATTATTCACCATGTCTTGATGTCCGATTGGGCATATTCCCGGTCGGAAAATTTTGGGCGTTTGGAAAAAAGATTCGGACAGGTCCGGAATATACGGGCAAAATCCCATCACTGGTACTGAGTGTATATCTTCCACTCAAGCCGATTACCTTTGATAATAGGTTAGATAGATTAAATAATTAAGAGGTCAACGTATTTACCATGTGATACAGTCTATATACCTACCTTGATTAACTACTTAATCTGCCTTGATTGACTGACTTAATCCTTCGTCGGCCAATTCATCAATCCAATCCCGTGTCGGCCAATTCATCAATCAAATCCTGAACAAAAGTCATTGCTTCTGCTTTGTCAGATTAGGTATCAATCCAATAAGAGTGATTAACTCGGGGGTTTCTCCATTGTCGGACATTTTAATTTCCTTGATGTCAGTCGACAACATGCAGAAACTATTCATATATTCACATATATCCATTAAATTGTCACACACACACACACACACGAGTGAAATTACGAGAGATGTAAATGTGACAATTATCACATGGAAAATGTCGGAGAAAAGATTCTATTTTGATGCATATTCTCGGGTTTATGATATTATTTTGAATTGGGTTTATGTTTTTTAAAAAAGAAATAAACAAGCTGGGAATTGTCGATAATTATTTCGATTGGAATCGCGTAAGTAGTTAATTGTTTTACACGATAGTGCTTGCGATCAGAGTCAAGTGCTATTATTTAGCAGATGATGTCACTTGCTCTTTATCATGGAGCGATAGTTACTGTCCCAAAATTTTTTTTTACCTCCATCCGTATATAAGTCGAAATGGAGCATAAGACGAATGCCAGACTTCTGCTGAAAATAGTGTCAACTTAAACCCCGAAAAATATGGCAATATTGGAGGAATGTTACTGGAGTGAATTTGATTAAAAGTAGGGGTCGGCAGTAGTTGGCATGCTTTCATTCTGTCATATTACGACTAGGGCTGGCGAAAATTTTGTATTACTGACATAAATTTGAATACCGCACGGAAATTAAATATGAAAAATAACGAGGTGCACGAATTTGAATATTTTGTTGACACATGATTTTTGTGTGTGGTCTGAAACTGCCTGCTTAAATAACGATAAGAGTTATGGCCCTTTACTTTAGGTAAAAATGTCCAACAGGGCATTTAGTATCACTTTTACAGTATGGGGTTTTGCTTGTTAGGATTAACGATGCATCTCTTTTGTAGCATCATTTTGAAATAATTGTATTTGTCTGATCTAGTAGTAGTATCCAGAACTGAACATTGAATTACCTTGTTTTGACTAAAATAAATGTAGGCCAAATGGAGTTCTTGGGGGCTTGCTGAATGTCTTAATTAGTTCAACACTGAAGGCAGAAAGATGAGTTGCTATTATTGACCCATAGTGATCAGAATATCTGTACTTTTTCATTATTAATTGTATCCTAAAGAGTAAGATTTATTATTCTTAAGGTGATCACTGGACTCTTATTGTAAGTAACCTTGCATTTTAGAAAGCTCAATTCCAGACTTCCCGGGAAATAAATATGTCATTTTATCTTGTTCTTGCTTTTATTCATTCATTTTAATGAGAACTCGTTAATTTTGAAGAAACATTTCCACAAAAGTATTTATAGGGTAGTTACTTCCAATAAAAGTTGGGGATATTTGGTAAGACACTAAATCTTAATAGAAAATACTGGATTCCCTGAAAAACACCCATTGAGTGCCCACAGGATGAAAATGTGTCCCTAACCGACAGTCTGTCTTTTGCGTGATGTTAGGAGCGCTTCTTAAGTGCTGATCTAATGGGCATTGGTGGTGAGAACATTGAGGAACTTAATAATTGTCCTTCAGACTCTGCGATTAAACAGCAGGAAAGAAGTTGCCAGAAGGTAATCCAAGAATTTACTTGGGGTTCGATATTTATGGTAAATAGATTCTCCCTCTGTAAATTCCACAAATGATAAGTAGTATCAAGTGTTATGGAAAGAAAAGGCATTCATTGCCTCTAGCACATTACCCATCTCTACTTATATAGGTAAATGTGGCTAACTATTTGGACCTAGATTAATATCAGAAGAATTAATACATTATACAGGGTACCTTTTTTTTATTATGACAAAGTTCAATTTTATTTCATTCTTTGGATTTTTAGACAGTATATATTTTTTTTTATCTTGGCTTATTCCATGCTAAAATGCTTTTTCAATGGATTATTTAAAGGGACTATCCCTTATTTGAACAGTCTCAAAATAAAAAACGTCTTAGTATGTATGAAATTTAAATGCCAAAATATAGGGTAATGGTGTATGGACCTTATCTCAAAATTTCAGCTCAAAATATTGAGTCGTTTGGACGTGACTGTCAAAACTGCTTATCCGGACACGTAACCCTTTTAAGATTTCGGGTCAATTTTTTCGTTGAGTGACCTGATAATCGATTTCCGTACATTGAGAGGTCTATACAGTGAATGACCCAAATGCTGTACTTGATAACGAAAGGTAAACTTCACCTTCACATTATTTTTATACAATAAATGTCTGGTTTTATCTAGACACAGCATAATGCAGTTTGGGACACCGGTCTCCATTTTCAGATGAAGACTGATGGGTTTCAGTTATTTGAAAACTTATCACAAATATTGAGTTAGTTGCTTAAACAGTTTTATTTTCCAAAAAATTATCGGGATTAGCCCTTTAACATTTTATTAAGCACATGAAAAACAAAATATCAATGGTAGAAAATCTCCCGCTTTGGATTCAAATCAGATTAAAAAGAGGCCCATCAAGAAACTTTACTTAACACTTATACATGGCACTGGGTCGCTTACATTGCATGCTGAACAGAATTGAATCATTCTTTGAAGAGATTTAACTTTCACAATATTGTAGTTTGTAAGGGATTCAAAATACATAGTGGGGTTTCTTCTACAGTTACTATACTGAGGCACCATTGATTTAACTGACAGTACTGACGAGGCCTAATGCAACTGAAATTTGATTTTTGGCATGATTGTGGGCTAAACAATTACTGACACAAGAAAATCAGCAAGCAACGGAGGCCATGACAACGTCACTTTACAGTGAAGCACAGGCACAAGGTGTAAAATTAAAAGTCAATTATAGCATTGAATCAGACTTGATCCAACATGAGGAAGAGAGTAGTCATTCATGAATGTTTTTTTGGTACTGATGTGTATCCCTTTTGAAGATATTGATAGGTAATGTGCAAGTCTTTTTAATACATACATAAAGGTCTTGGCTGATCTCTAGTGGACCCTGTTACTGTCTACTGGAAACAAACAGCCTGTCCCAGGATCCTAATGTGGCATTAAAACCTTTGAGGGATAGCTCTGGTACTCATGTCCCCATTGCTCCTTCCATGGGACTATAGGAGTTGTATCACCCCAGCTCTTCAAAAGCCACATTTTATACTTCATTTCATGTGAGCCATCGTGGCTCAGTGGATGAGACGTTGGCTTGCTAACCTGGAGGTCTCGTATTCGATCCCGGTGTTGGCCAAGAAAGTTCATCAGGATTTCCCGGGGTGGTTCACTCTGGACCTAGCCCCTAGCCTAACCCTAACCTACAATCTCGCCAACAATCACATGCCCTAACCTTATTTCTCAATGACCTTGACTAAAATTGAGCTGGTCTTAACTTTTAGATTTAGCCTTGTTGTATCCAGTCCCTAAAGTATACAGCCATCAGCAAAAAGTCATTGACTTTATTTCTATATCCTGGTACTAATGTTAGCTATTGATTATTGAATGATATAAAAAAAAAACATGCTTACTCCATTAGTATGTTTATTATTAAATCTGCGGAAGCTAAACATAGCCTCAAATAACCATAGAAGTAAAAGAAATGGAATACACTTCTTCATTCTTTTTAAGTGAAGCCATGAAATTTTATGCAATAATTACCAAGTTTGAAGCAGAAACAAGTACGGACAAAATCAAAGTTTGTAAATCGATCTACAATTGTCCAAGGGAACAAGTATGGAAAATGTCATTTCGATCAATCTTAAATTTGCATAGCTTAGGCTTTTTTGAAGAGCATTGCCCCCAACAAAAACAAGAAGACGAGTAGCACTTTTGTACCAGTTCCTGGTCCAATAAATTGTGTGTGCTAATTGAATATTAAAACTTGTGGTAATTAAAATACAGATGTGATGAAATCCTTTGATATTAGCGTTGAAATATTGGACTCATGGGAAGATTTCATTGTAATGCGGAATAGTGTCTGTATTTTAAATTGTTGAATGGTCTTGAGCAAGAAATTGTGTAATATACTGATACAACACTCAGACTTACTTAATTGGCCTGCTACTGACAATTAAACCACACATACTGTATGTATGTATATTCTGATTAGTAGATCTTGCACATTTCTCTTCATGTTTATTTTAAATTATTAACAATAGGAAAAAAGTGGTTCAATATCTTCAAGCTATATAAAAATACTAGCTCAATTTTAAAACATATTTCATACATACAAATATTGAAGTGATAAATGAGGTAAAAAAATGGTTAAGTAGAAATAGATGGGTGTGTAGGCATTACATAGCTCTCATTTAGTGGTCAAAGGAAATTATAAGCAACATTAAAGGGAGGAATTTTCTAATTAAGGGGAAACAACTCCAAATATTACTTTGACTTGCCTTGGTTATGTCAATTTTGTCATATTTCTTTTGTATTTTGAGTTAAATTTATTGTGTGTGGTGTTAAATTTTTGATTTACAACGTATGTGGAATTTTATTGTGTATTTCAGAACCACATTCAGGTTTCCGTATCGCCTTCAATATGTTTGATACAGATGGTAACCAAATAGTTGACAAGAAAGAGTTCCTTGTGGTATGTTCTGTTATTTCTTTTACGTCAGTCCACCATATGATATCATACTCTCTCTATTTCTCATATCATAGAAAATAAATTATTTTGATATAAGGTTACTTAAAAGAGAGTTTATTGTTTTTGCTATGGTCTAAAAATATCACAGCAGACAGAAAAACTACCGCACACAGTCACAGAAAGTTACATTTTTAGATTCTGGATTTCTCTCTTCATTTCGGTGGTGGGGGTGATATTAGCTGTATTAATCATCACACATATATATCTCCCAGCTTTTGTGAAATGCAAAGATCTTTTCATGTAATATATTTTTGCTAGTCTGTGCTGTTCACGTTACCCAGTCATAAATGATTAATCATAATAAATTACAATTTTTCTTATGAAAAGAAGAAATCTGTTGTGTGCTTTGTAGAATGAGAAAAATGAAATTACTTGATTTAACCTCGAAGTATAGCTTAAAATAAATATTGAAAATTTTGATAATATAATGTTAAATTTGAAAAGTGTTCATGGCTTCCATTGCATGTTTTCAGAAGCGTGGTTTATTTATGTCACTGATGTTTTGGTATTAGTTTTATCAAAATAATAAAAAACAAAAAAAAACCCCTACTGATATCTGCAGCTTTGACTTAGTAAACATCATAATGTTTATTTTCTGAAAAATGGATTAACATCTCTGAATCAAACAAAACAAGACCCACTGCAAACAAAAACAGCAAGATTTAAATTTTATAAGTTAGGGAAATAAAAATAAACTAATTTTTGAAGATAAATATACTGGAAAGCCATGTTAACACAAGGAGTCTGCAACGAGTCTCATTTAGCCATGTGAAATAATGTTGCCCTTAATATTAAGTTCATAATTTTACAAATCCGTGTACGAGGGCTCCATACAGTACCTGCAATGTCTTATCTGAACAAAATTCATTTGTCATGTATTTATATTTAGTGTATTATAGCAGAGTTGCTGCTGCCATGCCATTTAACAACAATTAAAGCCTCAATGCTTCATTTAGTGCTATAGGTATCCCTAGAAAACTACAATATTGTGAAAGTGTAAGCTCTAATTGGAATATCAGTCCAAAAAGGGTTCAGTTCTGTTCAGTATTGACAAAGTTATGATAGAAATCACACCACTAGACTGCCAATTCACCACAAAGATAAACAATTAAACAGTTTACACCAATATATTTAAGAGTGTAAGTGTGTGAATGTACATGTTTTTGGTGGATAGAAAGTTAAAACGTCAATTTATACATCATTTGCCAAATCAAAGGAGGGAGTTTTTTTTATCTTACAATTTTCTATTCTATTTGACATCATTTGGCCTTAGCCTTAGCTTTATATTGCATGCTTTTTTTTAATTATTGGCATGCATTATTTAAAGATAACTTTTAATGTTACAATATATAAAAAGCGTGATTGTATACTGCTGCTAAGTTTTCCCAAAGGCCACATGTTAACAAATGAAATATGAAATCATAATCAGTGTTCAGGGAGGGAAATGGGATTTAATGACAACTCAACATTTGGGAAAACATGGTATATTTTTTATTTCATTAATCTGGTTGCATGAAGTCAGAGGAAAAATGTGTACCTGAAGAAAACTCCACACCTTGTCACATACTAATGTCTGATTAAACCCATTTGGCCACCCAACTCACCAATTAGAGTTAAGAATTATGTAGCCATTACTTTTCTCACTATAAGGAATAGTCTGTTTTTATATTCAGATTTAACAACTTTTAAGATATAAATGAACTAATTTCACTGTTTTGTTTTGACTCTTCCAAGAATAGTGAACTTTCCGCCATTTAAATGGAAGATGTTTTTATCAAACAAATACATTTTGAGATCGGAAGTTGTTTGAAAGCAATAATTGTTTTCTTTGCTCATCGGTCTGTTTCCTTTTCTGTCTGAAATTGGATGATGTGTGATGAAAGAAGCATTAACTTCATCTGTCACTTCCTGAGTTGGACGCCTTTCTTATAGAGCAAAAGGAATCAGGCACCTATATTCTGAAAGATGTTAGAAAGTGATTATCTCTTCTTGTCTACCTCTTCCACACATCAAACAGAAAACTTGGAAGACCTTATTGAACAAATCCGCCAATCACATGATATAAGACTTCCCTCACCTACAATCCCAACCTACCAACAATCATGTAACATATTGTACCAATCTTTTATAGAAGTAAGACTAGATCTGTGAGCCATATGATTTATTATGTTTCATATTTCACATAGCTAGCAATGGGAAACAAATCAATATTTGAATGTGTTATTTTTGTTAGTTGACAGGTATTCTTGCTTTAAAGGTAAACTTATTATAAGTGATTCAACCATAGTCAAATTTTTAAAAAAGCATGAGATATGATTATGAATATTAGCTTTGTAATTGTATATTCATAAATTTACTAACTTTAATTAAGGGTGATGAGTAGTCTAAGATGCACACTAAATTTTCAACACCAGTCTTATTAAGACTTTGCATCCTTGTTCCATGTTTAAAATAACCTAGAGGACACATAACAGCCTAACTATTTGTTGTGCAATAATGGAGATGCAAGCGGAAAGAAAAAAACAAAAAACAAGAAGGTTTCCTCAACCTAGATCAGTTCTTGAATAAATTATGACATTGTACACACATTGGTAATGTGATCCACAGCAACAGTTTCAAACTGGACCATTGACATCTATCTATTTATAAGTCAGAATGAATTCCCTCTAAGGCGCGATTATCCAGGTCTACCTTCTATCATGACTAAAGCATTGCTGATTTTCGTTTTTTGATGGTCAAAGATTACTATTTTGAATGTATAAAATGATTTTGAGAGTGACAGAGTAGTGCAATGAAGTAAATACCGAAAATCACAAAATCTTGTTTGAAGGTAATAAATAAACAAAGATTTTAAAATACTAGCCGTAGATATTTTTTAAAACATTTTTGTTGTTGAAATGTTGCTTATAACCTCTACTTTTGATCTAAGGGAGGGATTATAGCTATCTCTTTTTAGCATGAACTCCAAGAAAACTCATCATTTGGCGTTTCCATGGATACCAGACAAACCACTGTCTATAGCCAAAAAGTGTCCCATAGGTTTCTTGAACTTGCATTTAGTGTTGTTCATGCCAAGTTTGATGAAAATCCATGCAGGCATAAGTTTGGAACATAGTTGGTAAATAAAATTGGTATTGTTTTGGTGATTAATATGTAGTTTATCACCCCAAATAACAAAAAATGTCATATCTTACGAACAAAACTTACAGTGCTAGCTTTGAAATGTGCAATTTAGAGTACTCATTGCCCTTAATTTAAGATCCTTCATAATACAATCATATGCCCACTGATGACAATATAGCGAATGCATTCCATAAAACTGCTTTTTATATACTCACATTTTATGTGGGAATATATTACTGTCACTCCTGTGCGTTGATTCGTCCATCAACTGTTCAAGTGTTTCAGATTATTTTTTTTTTCCAAACTAGTTGATCTTGTCCTAAAGGGGTTCAGAAGCCCTAATGAAATTCAGACTTACTGGTCAATTTTGTGTAGAGTTAGTGTCCCTAACACTGAAACCTTGAATGTGATCTATGGGTGAAAGTTTTTAAGGGGTTGTTTTGCAGTCATAAATCAAAATCTACTCACTCTGACCACGAAAAATTGAATAAATGCCATCTTTCAAAGTGTTGCTGGTGGATGTATATTTGTTGCCTGGAAACGCAGTGTTTCATTATTATTATAGTGCTGAAAGAATTTTCATTCAAGAGGTCTCTTGTTCATGCTTTTTGAAAAATCATAACACATTTTTGGGTATGGTACATATAGTTTAAAACCATTGGTGAATTATTTTCATAAATAAATATCTTAAAATTAATAAGAATTGGGTCATGGGCAATCATTTAATAAAAATAGTGATGGTAATGTGTCATTGGTTGTGAAATATTTGTAACCCTATTTATTCGTAATACAAATGTAGGTTCCATTTAGTATTGAAATAATTTAGTGTTACCAAGAAATAGGAAAAAAAAAAGATCCCCACAAAATTGACATTCCTTAATGTAATGACCATCTTTTTTAGGTAGGAAACACCGGTCAGTTATATAGCTCATAAACCCTAATGATCCTATTTGCATTATGATTTATTTTATATAGATGGTGATTGTATTTTAACAAAAATTGCATGATATAATTCTTATCAAAGGTTATAAAATACTTGTTAAATTTGTTAGTAAATAATTGATTATGTATATTTAACTTAATGTAATATATGAATGCTCAGTTTGAAGATAAATGATTAATCATTATATGCAATCCTTGTGGTACAGACCAAAATAGTAAATGCAGCCCTGGCAATTTTTGTTGGTAGTTGGTAATTACTGACGGTTTGTTTCTGGCATACTCAGAAGAAAACGTATAAAATATGTGTGAGAATTAAATGACAATGATATGAAATTATTGTTCTTCTCTTATGCAAGATTGTAACAATTCTCTGAAGTATCTTTTTTTTTCTGTCTTAAAAGTAATTTGAGTTGGAAATCTCGCGTTATGTACATCCATTGATAAAGACTTTTTTTTATGTGCTTGTATGACAAAATAACATAGTTTATGGATTTTCACTTTGTAAAAGTGAATATTATTATTAAATAAAAGATGAAGGTAGACAATAGAATTAATTTGGCCACTAAATTGCAGAATTTTTATTGGAGCTTTGTGTTAAAATCAGTGATTTTTGCATTGATAGATGATGTATAATGCAGCTGGTGAATTAGTCTCTATCATCCAGAAAAATATTCTACGAATATTAGTCTGGCTGCGTTGTCGACATTTGAGAAGAATAGGTCATTTGCTAGATTAACCAGTCTTTTACATTATCATAAACAAAGTCTAAGGGAGGTAACTAGTTTTAAAACACGATGTTGGCACCCATGAAATTAATTTAAGAATGCCGTTTCAGAAAATCCATTTGATTGCATTGGCAGTTCAATATCCAACACACTTAATTTTTTTTTATTGTAAAATTTCTCTCTTACCTGATCTGGCCAAAGATACCGGATAATCAACCACATAAAAAACAAAACTCCTGGTTACGCATGGGCAATTGAAAACACTCCCAGACCCTCCGTATGTTGAAGACTTGGAGGTTCTGGCGTCTGGGTGACCGAGAATACTGGTGAATTAGATTTTTTTTAAAAATGGGGGGTGAAGGAGGAGGATATTTAACTTCTGTTTAGGGAATAAACCTTTTTATTCAGCAGTTTTTGCCAAGGTATAATTTGTCTGATTGCCATAAATGGAAATGAATACTATAAACAGCATTCAATTATAAGAAAGTTATGTCTAATTTTCCAGTTTGATTTTGATTGCCTATAATCACTAACTACCTATTTAATTTCCTTGCCTAAAATATCATTAATTCAATCTTGATATTTCATTGTCATTATTGCCATTGTGTATTTTCACTATTTTCTATTTGCAATTAAAATGAGTTTTATTTTGATATTTTTTATTTTTGGTTAAATCTGTATTATTTTTATGTTATTTTATCAGATATATTATTTTTTACAAACATGTCTATTATTTTGTCATTTTCAGTTGGAATCTTTCTTCGCTCTTCCGTCCAATCAGAGAAAATTTGTTCCAAGGGGTCGCAAAGCACTGGATGAACTTTTGGCCGTATGTTGTCATCACATTGATCATGGCTTGTTTTTGCCGTGCTGTTACTGCCTCCTCACATCATCCCTATCATAACATTGCTTGCAGCTGTTCATTTTTCATTTGAAAATGATCTAACGCCATTTTATTTATACCTCCTTTTGTTTAAACTGTTTGCAAGATAAAACACGTTTTGTTTATGCTAATCATAACATTGTATTAAAAATGCATTATTCAGTATTTAACATCTATATAAACATCTATACAGAAATCTATGATACATTGTTTTTTTAGCCACCTGGCCATTAATCAAGACTAAATTCAAACACAAAATTATAGAAATATTTTAAATTGGATTACAGTTGAATGAGACACAAGGAAAATCATTGACAAAAATAGAATTATCTCCCTTTATATGTTGGAAATTATTGGTTAGAAATCAGTTTTATTCTTAATTGGTTATAAATTAAAGGAGTTGAATGTACATATACTAATGGGTATCGCAGTACATCTGGTACGGGGACATACTACATACACTCTATGGAATTTTGTTTCAGGTAACTTATCAAATAGGATACACTGTACATTAGAACCACTGATAAATAACATCCAAGAATATAACAATATATTTTAATATATGTTTGTATTTGCCAAAAATAATTAATTCCTGTTTGTCTAATATTTTGATTTCTTTGCATGGCTGTGGATAGAGTATTAGCTAGTTATGCCATTTGTCTGTTTTTGTTTGTCTACAAATGTAATGCCATCTTCATTATCCCAGTTGGAGTTGAACGTAAAACCCCATTTCATTTCATTACAAATGTAATGTAAACTTATGTGAAGCTTTATGTCGTTTGAATTGTTTATGTATCCCTTGCTGCATTTATTAGTTACCTTTATTACTATTCGTTTCTTTATAACTGTTGTTTCTTGATAATTAAAAATTGATATGCAAATTGAATAATTGCTGAATTTAACAGAATTGAACGAACTGTTTTTATTTTTTTATTGTATTTTAATAAAGTGCTGTTTAATTTTTTGGCATGTAAATTTATGTACCATATTTTAATAATATTTTTAATATATTTTGATTTGTAAATATTGTGTACACCTCTCCCCTTCCTTGCCTTAAATTAACCAAGGTTTTGTGATAAAATGGTGACATCTTCTGATCAAAATATAACAAAATATTTGACAAATTTGTGACAAAATTTATTTTGACAGTGGAGAACACCATTTTAAGATGTATATTTTTATACGCCCACATGGAAATGTGGTCGTATATTGCCGTCGCCCCCGTCCGTCCGTCCATCGTCCACAATTTCTTGTGAACACTCTACAGGCTACATTTATCATCTGATTGTTTTGAAATTGATATATGTTGTTTGCATTAGTGAGATGAAGAATCCTATTTAATTTCAATAACTTCCGTTAATTTCTTCTGGAGTTATGGCCCTTGTTTCACTTTGTTGCACCTTGTGAATGCTCTATCGACAAAAGTTATCAACCGATCTGTATGAAGTTTATATGCATCATTTAAATTAGTAAAACAAAGAAGCCTATTGAATTTCAGTAATTTCCTTTAATTACATCTAGAGTTATGGCCCTTGTTTCACTTTGTTGAATCTTGGGAATGCTCTAATGACAACAGTTATCATCCAATCTGTTTGAAATTGATATGCATCATTTAAATTAGTGAAACAAAGAAGCCTATTTAATTTCAGCAATTTCCGTTAATTACGCCGTGAGTTATGGCCCTTGTTTCACTTTGTTGTACCTTGTGAATGCTCTAACGACAAAAGTTATTATCCGATCTGTATGAAATTTATATGAATCATTTAAATTAGTAAAACAAAGAAGCCTATTGAATTTCAACAATTTCCGTTAATTACATCTAGAGTTATGGCCCTTGTTTCACTTTGTTGAATCTTGTAAACGCTCTAATGACAACAGTTACCATCTGATCTGTTTGAAATTGATATCTGGCATTTAAATTAGTACAACGAAGAAGCCTATCGAATTTCAGCAATTTCCGTTGATTATGCTGTGAGTTATGGCCCTTGTTTCACTTTGTTGTACCTTGTGAATGCTCTAACGACAAAAATTATTATCCAATCTGTATGAAATTTATATGTATTGTTTAAATTAGTAAAAGTTTCAGCAAATTTCTGTTAATTACATCTAGAATTATGGCCCTTGTTTAACTTTGTTGAATCTTGAGAACGCTTGAACAACAAAAGTTATCACCTAATCTGTATGAAATTCATATGCATCATTTGAATTAGTAAAATGAAGAATCCTATTGAATGTCAGCAATTTCCATCAATTACTTTTAGAGTTATGGCCCTTGTTTTACTTTGTTGAACCTTGTGAACGTTCGAACGACAAAAGTTATCAACCGATCTGTATGAAATTTATATGCATTATTTGAATTAGTAAAACGAGAAAGCCTGTTGAATTTCAACAATTTCTGTAGATTACTTCCAGAGTTACGGCCCTTGTTTTAGTTTTTAGAACTTTGTGAACCCTCAAACAACGAAAATTATATCTGTTATCTGTATGATATTGTCTATTAAATTCCCCTAATCACCGACAAAAGAATAATTATGTGACAACCCCTGTTGACTGCTCGGACGATTTAGCTGCTGTGGGCGTATGTTTTGTTGCCTGGCAACCTATCTTTTTTTTGCATGTTGTCTGCACACTAAGCACTCATTCTACATAAGCCTTATGTTCTGCACATGAATGCCAGATCAACAGCCAAACAATGTCTGATCATGAAATTGGGAAATTTACATACACATGCGCACAGCAAACCCTTCCACTGTAACACTTCATATCTTCCATGGCAGTTTTTTACATATTTGTTTACTCTGTCAGTGTGTGTATCTATATGAATTAATCCAACTATTTCCAAAGCTTAACATTTAGCACCCATTAAAAATTTCAACAATCTCTTTCACAAATACCAACCTATATTTGACTGACCATGGGCAGAGAATAATCTAATCACAAGCAGAACATGAGGCATAAAGAATGTGAGCATGCTGTATATTTTAATTAATATATTTATTATTTTAACATATTAATATTAATGCGTGCACATATTCTGATTAACTTTTGCAGTTGGAACAAGTGTTCAGCAATCAGCCTGATGCCAAGGGAGATAAATCCAACAAAGACGTATGTGAAATGAGGGTTTTAAATTTCAAATTTAAATGATGTATTTCTCAAGTAGTACAAGTAGTAAACAGAAAGAAAATATTGATGTTTAACTTAAAAAAAAAACCCCAAAAACCAACTAAATACAGTATTGATTAGACGGACAAAAAGTTGTGTAGAAAATAATTATATCTCTTTTAAAAATTTTTTTTCTTACTTCAGTCTTCGAATTATATGCAACTACCAGTAAGTAATGAAACCAGCCTTTTTTTAGTTGTAGAAATAAATCTTGACAAACTGTTTGTTCTTCACGAATGGAGCTAATAAAGACCAGACATAAGCCATTTATTGTGCTATCAAGAGAAACTTTGCCTGTGACAGTTGTGTTTCCGTCTACCTTTCGTATAATTCCTACTATCAAGTGTTATTTTACGTGCACACAAATGTTTATATCGAGCCTCAGATTTTCAACCCATTTGAACATTAAAATGCTGTTCCTTGCCAGACTTCCCTGCCCCGTCCCACCATCCTGTGAACGACTGGCAAGATCAAACCACCACGCTAGAAAAACCTCTGAAACACAGATCTGTGTTCTTTTAAACATGCATTGTGCAAGAGCTAAATCTGGCTATTGCAGGTCTTTCTTTAGGCCTGAAATGTTATCTAAATTATTAATTAGACACTCGAGACTTTGTTTATTATCGTACAAAAGTTAGTAATGATGATCAAGGCTAGCTTACCTAAAATTAAATTTCTAATGTCTTGGTCCAGAGTTAAACAATTTGACTTCAATTTTCAAAATATTCTGCTTTCATTATCTATTTTTTTTAACTATTTTAGCAAGAACTGTCATCCTTTTATCTAATCTTACCTAATGCCCCTTTAACAAAACATTTGAATTGACACTATTTGGCAGTAAAAAGTAATGTGAATAATTAAATACATCATTTGAATTTGGAACATTTCATTTGTTTCTCTTTGTAGTTTATGTTTTATTTGAACTAATCCTGTTTTTCTTTTAGCATTTTGTATAAGTATTTTGTGTGTAAAAACTTACATAAGTCAAACAATTAATGTAAATAGAACTAGATTTATAGTATTTTGTGACCATTATTAGACATTAATCAATCCTTTTAGACTTTACATATAATAATTAAACTGATTTGAATGAATTGTAAACATTTTTCTTCCAGTGTATCAAACCATCGGTTCTTGACAAATATCTTTGATGGATAATTTTTTATTGTTCATTCTAGTTATGCTTGCATAGCTTTCAATGTCTGTGTTTATATATTGGGTCCTTTCCATCATTCACATATTAGTGGCTAGAAAAATTGATATATCTTTTTGACATAGGTTGTTCATCTAATTGTGAATATTTTTCAAGAATCACCTCTAGAGTTATGCCCCATTGTATGAAATCCTGTTAAAATTTTCTAATTGCAATTATTAACCTATCTTTCTGAGATTATATGCTGGTTGTGTCCTATTAAAAGTTAAGCTCATTCAAAGGAATATGTCTATTTCCTGGCAAACTATGTTGGCCATATCTTCGAGTTTGTCTTCTGGATTTGTAATTAATTGTTATGTGCCCTACGATCCGCCTGCACTTAACTATTACGGTAAATGTGTCTCCAAGAGATGTTTTGTGATTCAGACTAACCATCTAATTGGATTGGCTAATTCAGACTTAAGTGGCATTAGTATATATATACTAGCCCTAGCTAACAGCACTCTTGGAGATCTAGACTATTAATTGTATAAATATAATTTTAAATAGTGTAGGTTTGAAATTGCTTAATTAAATGAAACAGACAATTTAATAAGGTATAATTTTATTTGGAAAATCTACAGTAAGGTCCTTTACTTAACCATTTAAATACTGCCAATAAAATGTTTACTTATTTAAATTTAATTCATGAATCTTGTTAAAAAGAGGACTACTATGACTAGATGATGTTACTCAATATTTGGAGTGGACGATTTTTTATGAACCAAAATTTTCAAAATGACTGTCAATTAATTGTACAGTTAATAATGTGATGTTGTGGGGGTTTTTTCTTATTAAACAGGAAAGTTTACCTGATGTACAAGACACAACTTTATTGATACATTTCTTTGGTCAGAGAGGTTCAGATGTACTTAAATATGATGACTTCTACAGGTATATAAACTTTATGTGATATTATCAAGCCATGAAATTATTGCATACCATCTATTATTGGTGTGATTTAAATATTTTGGACTCAGATGCAGTATTGTGGAATGTGGTGTGATTGATCGTGGTGAAACCAGGAAAAGCCTTGTGGTAGTGCTAACATTCATTAGGGTTTCACACTGCGTAGCTTGTGTGAAACACTATTGTTTTTGTTAAGATTGTTATTCATCTTATTAGGCTTTCAGACGAAAGTCTGAAAGCCTATTGAGATTACTAAAATTATTATTATTATTATTATTTACCGCGGGAGTCTATTTCTCCATGATCGGAAATAGATATCGGTCTGGAACCAAATTTTCTATCGGGAAACCATGTGGTGGTTACTTGATAAAGTATTTTTGAAACTTCTGCGCAGGCTGGAAGTGGCCGAATTTTGAACGGTAGCAATAAATCAAAAAGCGGCCGTGGTTTCACCAATTCTTTATCTATTTTAAAACAATTCACATTTTTGGAAACCCTGAATCTTTTCCGAGACAACCCTGAATCTTTTCCGAGACAATGGCTATCTCACATTTTTGGATTTCGAACATTCATCTATGGCTTTTGTCGTTCGAAATTTGAAAATTTAAATTTTTACAAAAAACTTTTTTATTTATAAATATCTTTTAGTCGTGTTTTACACAGAATTAACGAGTCATCTGACTTGTGCAAAAATGTGAAATTTTTTTGTCTCAGTAATTTTCCTTGGCCGCCATTGGCTAATTCAGTTTTTCAGTTCTAGATTAATTATTTATTGCTCGATTTGTATAAAACAAAGTTCATATACTCTGTTGTCTCTATTGTCATTTTTTTTGTTACCGATAGAGATATCTGTCGGGACCGGAAGTGGCTTAATTTTACCAAAAACTACAATTTTGACAGTTAGGTACCATTTTTCGAAAGCAAATATTATTTTTTTAAAAAACTGATATAACTAAAAGAGTGTGCCCTTTATAGGCGCACAAAATCGAGCAAATTCGATTAAGAGGTGAAAAAAGGTGTAAAATTGACCTATTTACAACTCATTCAGGCTTTTCAGATTTTAAAATATTTCTACGTAACTTTTATAAACTTGTAGCTATAATCCATACGAAGAAAATGTATGTTAAAATTAGTTTGTAATATAAGCAGTTACCTAGAAATGGGCAATTTTGCATAAGTCACTGTTTTCGTTATTTTGCCTGTAAAATAGTCAATTATTATTGGATTTTCACAAAAGTGACACCATTTGATTCAAAAAGCAAGTATGCGTCGTATCAAATTGATTACAATTTAAAATTGATACCTGAAGTGACGCCATTTTGTCAAAAAATGCATTTTTAACTTTTAAAATCAATATTTTTTTCAACCAAGAATTATTTAATATGTATTAATAATTTTAACTTTTGAATTACATTCACATATTAATAAAATTCATAAGGTCATATAGATTTCCCAAAATTGTTTCTTACTTGTTCAGGCGATTTTCAACAGGTCACTTTTCAAGGTTTTTGGTCCATAAAAGTGTCAATTATTATTCGATTTTCATAAAATTTTCACTGTGTGATACCTAATGCCATTTACAATTTCATACAAGTCATTTAAGATTTTCATTATCACCGGAAGTAACGTCATTTTGGCAAAAACTATATTTTTAGCCTTCAAAACCGATATTTTATTCAAATGAGTCTGATTTGTAATATTTTTAAAATTATGATATTTGATTCCAATCACCAAATAGATTGAACCCATACGATCATACAGATACCAGAAAATGGTTTCTAACTTGTACGGTTGCAGAGAAATAGACGGTTTTATACAAGTCACTTTTCAAGGTTTTTGGTCTATAAAAGTGGCAATTATTATTCGATTTACATAAAATTTTCACCATGTGATGCCTTATGCCATTTCTGATTTCATAAGACTAATTGAACATTTTCATTATCACCGGAAGTACTGTACACTTACATGTAACAAATGTATAAAATGAATTGATATTGCTGGATTTGGTTGATTCGGCGTCCATTTTATTTGATGTGTGCAATGCTTATGTGGAAACCTGTTTAATGGTTTCATTGGTACCGGAAGTGATATATGTTTAGGGTAACGTGGCACCGGCAAAACCGTAGTCATAAAAATATTCGATATTAAAAAAAAAAACACAGTAAAAATCGGTGCTCTTGCAAAAATCGTGATTTCACGGTCAGGTGTGACCGGATCAAAACACCTAAAGTATCGTTTGATAGCTCGATGAATGGGCTATTGTATGACACACTTCCTATCTGATTCCTGAAAGCCGGTTCAGTGCTGCTTGCAGGTCTAGTTATTATTATTATTCCCAATTATTTTTGATTAGATCTCAGCAACTGCTTGTCGGATCTTTACGATTTCTTCGGTTTTACTGGAAAAGTGGGTGTGACTTAGAGGATAAAGCTATTTTGAACGTTCTGCGACAATGCGAAATGTCCGAAATCACCGAAGCTATCGTTTTTAGAAATATTGCAGTAATTTTAACAATAATCATTGGATTTTAACTTTCGAAACATTTTGGTATAGCCAGAGACAGGGCACATAGCTAATCTACTTTTGATTTTTTATTTTCTGCAAATCTTCGCAGATATTAGGCGCCAAATTTCGAAAATTTAAATTTTTACAAAAAACTTTTTTATTTATGAATATTTTTTAGTCGTGTTTTACACAAAATTAACGAGTCATCTGACTTGAGGAAAAATCTGATTTTTTTTTGTCTCAGTAATTTTCCTTGGCCACCATTGGCTAATTCAACTTTTCAGTCCTAGATTAATTATTTATTGTTCGATTTGTATAAAACAAAGTTCATATGCTCCGTTGTCTCAATTGCCATTTTTTTTGTTACTGATAGAGTTATTTGTCGGCACCGGAAGTGGTGTAATTTTACTAAAAACTACAATTTTGACAGTTAGGTACCACTTTTCGAAAGCAAATATTATTTTTTTCAAATCTGGTATAACTGAAATGTTGTGCCCAGTTTTTTTAATTTCGATTCCGTTTTTCAGGCTATTTCGACTAAAAGGTGAAAAAAGGTGTAAAATTAGTCTATTTACAACCCATCCAGCGTTTTCATATTTTAAAATATTACTTCATAACTTTCATAAACTCGTAGCAATAATCTATACGGAGAGAATGTATGTGAAAATTAATTTGTAATATGCGCAGTTGCCGAGAAATGGTCAATTGTGCATGAGTCACTCTTTACGCTATTGTGCCTGTAAAAGAGTCAATTATTATTGGATTTTCATAAAAGTGACACCATTTGATGCATAATGTCAATTGTGACTAGTTCAACTCAATTTAAAATTTTCAATGTCACCGGAAATGACGAAATTTGGGCAAAAACTGTATTTATAGCCTTCGAAACAAATAATTTATTCAAATGAGTCGTATTTAGTGTTTGTTTAAGATTTTGATATTTGATTCTAATCAACTAAAAGAATGAACCCATACGATCATATAGATATCACAAAATGGTTTCTAACTTGTTCAGTTGCGGAGAAATAGGCAATTTTCAACAGGTCTCTTTTCAAGGTTTTTTGTCCACAAAAGTGTCAATTATTATTCGATTTTCATGAAATTTTCACTGTGTGATACCTAATGCCATTTACGATTTCATACATGTAATTTAAGATTTTCATTATCACCGGAAGTAACGTCATTTTGGCAAAAACTGTATTTTTAGCCTTCAAAACAGATATTTTATTCAAATGAGTCTGATTTGTAATGTTTTTAAAATTATGATATTTGATTCCAATCAGCAAATAGATTGAACCCATACAATCATACAGATACCAGAAAATGGTTTCTAACTTGTACGGTTGCAGAGAAATAGACGGTTTTATACAAGTCACTTTTCAAGGTTTTTGGTCTATAAAAGTGGCAATTATTATTCGATTTACATAAAATTTTCACCATGTGATGCCTTATGCCATTTCTGATTTCATAAGACTAATTGAACATTTTCATTATCACTGGAAGTACTGTACACTTACATGTAACAAATGTATAAAATGAATTGATATTGCTGGATTTGGTTGATTCGGCGTCCATTTTATTTGATGTGTGCAATGCTTATGTGGAAACCTGTTTAATGGTTTCATTGGTACCGGAAGTGACATGTTTAGAGTAACGTGGCACCGGTGAAACCTGTCATTACTGCATCGCAGTTCTAGTTTAATTTGTGGTTGTATCTGTAGGTTTCATCAATTGTCTTTTTGATAAAAGGATGAAAACTATTTCTGGGGATAGCTCCTGTGGTCATGCCCCTTGATAAGAAACCTTGTTTAACAGCAAAGAGCAACAATTATCATTTGAACCGTTGATTCCATGGAAAAGAAGACTTATTTATTTTTAGCAATTTCAGGAGCTCAGTAAGTAAGACGTTGTCCCACTAACCCGGCTGTCCCATGTTCGATCTCAGTTTTTGCCAAGAATGTTCCTGTCTGGTTTTGTTAGGGGTACATTTCTAACAAAAACCCCAGGAGTTATAGGTCTGCATGATGATTTAAAAGATCTTGTTCTATATAGTCTAAAGTTTTTATGAGAACATTTGAGAATGTTAGACATTGTTTAGAGTAATAAAAGGAAGAGGTTGGAGAGAACACGGTTATCCTGGGAGCTCTGACAATCTGTATAGATGCTGCAGACAACTTTGCTAGTAGATATATTTGTTGACTTAAAAATAACAACAGGAGGGTATGACAAGCCCTTGTCTACGTTATTTTTCCATTCATTAGAAAAACTACCGTATATTTGCTAACGAAAATGAATTTTGAAAGCAAAGTGATAGAAACAGTGTTGCTCAGTTTTTAAGATATTTATCTGTTTTTCTTCCTGCAGATTTATGGAAAATTTACAGAGTGAAGTTATTGAGCTAGAGTTTTTAGAATTTTCTAAAGGAATGAATACAATATCTGAAGTAGATTTTGCTCGCATTTTATTGAGATATACATTATTAGATAAGGCAGAAATAGACCAGTGTATTGACAGGGTTAAAGAGCGCATTCCTGAAGAAATGGTAAGTATTTCTAAAATTCAAACTATCACTTCCATTGTAGAACACCTAATACCACTTCTCATTTATTTATAGCTCTAAAACATATTTTATTGCAAAAATAAACTTTACAAAGGGATAAGATCAATTTATAAAAAATTATGAATCTTCTTCCAAAATAATAATCAAACTTTTATATAAAATAGTAAGGCGAATTGATTTTTAATTTAACTAACATAAACATATATACATCTATTTACAAAACTTCCTTGTAAATTATATTAATTAATGTATACTAATATGTTTACTTATTGGTACATTATTATAGTATTTGTTTTTAATTTTTAATTATATGTAAAAGGTTTTGAGTCTTTGATATACCTTTGAATAACTAAAACTAACATTTTATTTAATTTTTTTGATAGTAGCGATGAACCATGTAGAAATATTTCGTGTAATTCAGTGAAAGGATTATTTCCAAGCCATGTCAGTTTACTGAAAAGGGCACAGCGTTGTATACCTCGGGCAATCAAAAAAATAATGATACGAATTTTCGACAGACATAGTGTTACAACTGATAGAAATTTAAACTACTACATCCAAGTCGAATACGATTGTGGTATATAAAGATTGGCCTAGAACCAATACTTCCGAATTTTGGTGGCTTTATTTTAGGTTTTAGAGATTTTTTAAATTCTTTAACGTTTGCAATGTCTTTTAAATCTTTTGATAAATTATTGTATTCATGAATAGTTTTCGGAAAGAATGATTTTTTTCTGATACGTTTGAATCAAATGCATAGTAAAAAGATTTCTAACAAAATTCATGTCCTAATGATTATTTTGTTTTAATTTGACTGGAAAATAATTTAATGCCCATTCATTTATTTTCAGGGTATATCTTTCAAAGATTTTAAACAGTTTTGTCAGTTTTTGAACAATTTAGATGATTTTTCAATAGCTATGAAATTGTACACTTATGCTGAACAGCCAGTTTCACAAGGTAACTGCATGAGTTTTGATATGAATCAGACTTTTACCTGATTCTTTGAATTTTAAAAAGGGGGGGGGGGGGTGTAAGATAGAGAAATCGATAGGTCAAATCTTTTTTTTTTCCAGTTGTACGTGGACCTGTCACTATTTCCAACTGTTTATATATTAATGCAAATTGTGTATGGCATAGTTTACCACGAGGGCAGCCGTGATTATGTCCATGACAATTCGGTTTTTAATGCTTAATGGATAGAATACCTACTAAAGTTCCCCAAATCCCCAAATTAAGCCAGAATTAGGCTGACCTTAAAAATATCTTTGTTTCGCCTAACGCGACCGACTAACTAAAACCACCCCCGACTTAAATTATTTTATTGCACTTTTCCACGATCTTTTTATTTTATTTTGTGTGTCAACCTGAAATATATCACGAGAGTTATTTCCCTTTACTATGGCTATGGTTTGATTCATTATTGAAACTGGTTGATCGAGATGAAAGCGTCATAGGTGTCGCTTCTCAACAAAATGGTTGCAGACGAATACACGTCCATTCCCATGAAATGATTCTGCTTCTATGTCTGTGGTGCGTAGTTTTAAACATAACGACGATATTTTCAATATCCGTTTTCGAGAAAAATGAAGGCACAACCCGCACTATCTTTAAAAACATGTTGAAGGAGTTTCACACTTCAAGTTCGTGGCAAATCGTGTGCGATGTCATTGATTTTTTTGCCAATTGAATAAAGAAGACGAATGTTTCCACCCGGAAAATTAATATGTAACAGGCATTGCCTGAGTAGAGCGAAGCTGATTATTGTCAAATATAAAACCTTCATTCATAATTAATTTTCTCAAGTGATACAAAAAATATTAAATAATTTAGTTTTTATTGAGATCTAAATTTTATACATTAATTTTGTTTTTAAAAAAAGAACAAAAAAGTGTGAGAATTATTTTCATTGACGTAAAAAATATGTGACGTCATTGATTAGACGCGTCATAGAAATAGTTCTATGAGGCGCGTAATCTCGCTTGGGCGAGATTTGGTGGATAGAATTATTTTTGTTAGTTACGTGATCTCGCTTGGACGAGATTTGGTAAGTTGACATGCGCATTGCCTGTTTTGCCCAGTGTATCCGGTTCCGGCTGAATTTTTTTTTAATCAAAAGTCTGTGGGTGACATTTTCAATTACGCTCCTGTGTTACCGGAAAAGAGCTTTGCTCAAGGACCGCGCAAAGCGCGGTGCTTTAGAGCTTCGCTCTATAATATGTAACAGGCCTTGCCTGAGTAGAGCGAAGCTGATGTGATTGTTGTCAAATAAAACCTTCATAATAAATTTTCCCCAATTGAAAAAAGAACAAAAAGGTGTGAGGATTTTCATTGACGTCAAAATTATCTGACGTCATTTATTCGACGCGTCATAGAAATATTTCTTAGAGACCCAAAATCTCGCTTGGGCGAGATTTGGTAAGTTGACATGCGCTGACATGCGCATTGACAGACATGCGCATTGCCTGTTTTCCCCAGTGTATCCGGTTCCTGTCTGAATTTTTTTTTAATCAACAGTCTGTGGGTGACATTTTCAATTACGCGCGTGTGTTACCGGAAAAGAGCTTTGCTCAAGCACCGCGCTTCGCGCGATGCTTTAGAGCTTCGCTCTATATTAAGCTGTCAAATTAGCTCTTAAGTTTAATAAAAAGACTTTCAGTTCGTTACTTTTTACGTCAGACCCCAAATTCATTAAACAAAATTAATGAATCTGTAGTATACAGCTAATAAGTTTTCTGTATTGATTTCTCTAACTTTAAAAAAAAAAATCTGAAAAAAAAAACGACCTACCGACCCTTGTCCTCGATTGTGGGTCGGGTTTGGTGAAACAAAGATATTTTTAAGGTCAGCCTTATCATATGTAAAGAAACGGAAAATATTTTATTTTTTATTGACAAATGACAAACATATGCTCTGTAAACCAATTCACTGTGTTCTCTAGGCCGTAATGCTTTGAGCTATATACACTAGTGGTTCTAGCCAATCAACATAGCGAAATAGAAAGCGTGATCTATTTAAAGAGCAGTAATCCCTAGCACTTATTAGCTGTATTGAGTATGAAAGCCGCTGATTCTGCATAAAAACTTGATCGCCCACATGAATATAAACAAATTTTATCGACAGGTTTGCCTGTTTTAAACTACTCAATTTAACTGACAGGTTAGTATGTTAGTAGTTAGCAATTTCAAGGTAAATCAACAATGAAATAATGTAATAATCTGGTCCAAATTGTATGCTTTCAGTTATTGAGTTATCATTGTGGAAATTAATGATATAAACTTACCACTTCACAGTCAAATTTATAAGAAGTTGTTGGTACCATTCCTGCCCATGACAACTGGCCTGAAAATATTTTTAAAAAGTCATAAATAGTCAATATAGACTACATGTACATATAATTCAACCTTCCTAACATACACTAGTCCACAAGCCTTTCTTTTTAAATATTTTTGTTGGCTTACAGTTGTCACTGTCAGTCTTGTCTAACCATTGTCATTACTTACTGCTTGACCCTGAGAAGACAAAAGTGAAATGGAATTTAACACACCAATTTTCTGCTCCTTCCGAGTTAATTTTAACTGCTCTGTAGTTTTTAAATATTATCTTCCTATTGAATTTCCAGACCTTCTGATTTTTATGTAGAATCTGAGGAACATTCTAGAGGCAAAGTTCTTATTTGATCTTAATTAACAATTTTATATCCTATCTTTGAAGTAACAATTAATAAGAAGTGATTGCCCTGAGATGTGGTTTGGTTTAAATTTTCATCAATCATTTATTTTACAGAAGACTTCCAGAGAGCTGTAAAGATCTGTACAGGTTTTACGTTAGGTAAACATATTGTTAATACCATGTTCCAGATATTTGATGTGGATGGAGATGGTCATCTTAGTCATCAAGAATTTATTTCCATTATGAAAGACAGACTCCATAGGGGTTCAAGGGTAGGTACTCATTATTTGTGATCTTTAAGAATTGTATTAACTTAGATGAGTACTGGTATGTTTGAGAGATAATGGTACACAAAAAACCCTTAAAGTCTCCATTTTCTAATATTGTTATTAATTCGACTCATTAGATTCTTAATGCACATATTAATGGATTGTGCTTCTATCTTAGTATTCATTAGTCAAAAAAATTTTGATCCATTATCATTTATTGGAAATATTGCTATTTTTAGTAATGTTACTAGATTAACTCGCATATTCCACTACACTTATTTTCATAAAGAATTATTTGGCTCATATCAATTATTCTTTGTCTTTTTCAGTCCCATCTGATGCACACACAAGGAAACTGGGAGAATTTTCGGGCGTGTGTCAAAAATGAAATGAAAACTTTTTAAATGTTTGTGCACTACATGCTATAGAGTATCTTCATTCATAATGATTGCATAATTTATTGATACAGTATATAATTCACAGATTTATTTTACATACAATCTTCATAAGATATTAGTAATATATTACTGGCTATAAATAAGCTGTTAAAAAAAATTGTTACATGCTACATGATAAAGCTAGTAGTGGGAATAGATTCATGGTATGCCTTCACTGCTTGTAAATATGAAAAAAATCTGCAGTGTCTTAAGTTCTCCTTTTAAGTTCTGATTTTACCAATATTTAAATATATTAATATTACAGATCATGTAAATCCAACATTTATAAGAACTAACACATTTGGGGTTCTTGACTCTAAAAAATGACAATGCATGTTTGTTTTCTTGATATGGCTTTGGTGACTTTTTTGGACAAAGTCTCTTTATTCCCTCATGTTTCGTATTTCTGAATGGTTATGTTAAAGTGTAGGCCAGACGCCAGTATTACTTCACTTTCTTCAAATTATTTCTTTATGTGGGAAAAAAGATGAGTTTGCATTCAGTTATATAGTACACAGAATGTAACATCTGATACCTATAACCTCAAACTTGATGCCAAAAAAACTCTGCTGGAAACTACTTTTATAGAAAAGTTTGTATTGGTTATCTTAGAAATTAAAAGGAAATGTAATTGTCTGTTTAATATCTTTATTGAAATCAATTAGGTCATATTAAATGTACTTGATTCATGGAAACTAAGAAATTGATTCAGAACTGGAAATACAGGAAGAGAAAGAATATTGCCTTAACAGAAAAAGACATCTTGTGTGATGAATTGTAGTCCTTTATTAGACAGGATGGGTAGTAGTAGTGTTTCAAATCAAAAGCTTTCTCAAATACTTATAATCCATAATTCTCCATTATTAATATTCATATGGTTATATTGTACCACATAGTGTAGTATATGAACATGCATGAAAGTTTTTCAACAAGTATGCAATGGATACTTATATCCAAAGTGTAACTGCACTGCTTTAAAGGGGTATTGCCAGATAATATAAAATTAATTATAGAAGCAAAAAGGTGATGTCATGTTAAAACCCTAATGAAAACATATCATTTTGTGTATTTTGAATCCTTATTTCTGTTTAAGATAAGAGTTAATATCTTGAAACAAATTTATTTCAAAAGAAACTATACTAAAATTGTGAGACTACTGTAAAAATATAACTGTAGAAGTTCAAACAGGGACACTTTAGTGGGATACATTAGTTCAATGGTTGTATTGGGGAGCCATATTTAACCATAGTTTCAGTTTTATTATCAGAATTATAAAGGGATTAAAATACTATTTTTGATATAGTTTCTTTTAGAGGTTGGTGTACAAATTATCCTTGTTGTATTGAACATTGATTAGAGTTCTGCTAATGCCACTTTCACTGTAAATACATTTTGTTATTGTTTATATTACTAGATGAGATATTTTATAGTAGTAAATACATGTATTGTTAATAACGTTTTCTATTCTATTTATCTTTGTTATTTACATGTGATATAATATTATTGGAATGTTTTCTATTCTAACTTATTGATTAAAATATATAAAACTTAAATTTATTGTCTGCTTTGATGAGTTGTGTTTCGTTCTATTTTTATGCACATTTAATAGGATTTATAATGTGTCAACACATGCTCATGAAGTCTACATTTTTCATCCAAATTTAATGAATTTTGGTATGTGGCTTTACATTCGTGAGATCTCTGATTCTGTCATAGTGAGCTAGATTCAATAATCATTGCCGTTGTCAAAACTTTTTAAATTACCGAAGTTCATATTAAAGAAAAGGAGTAGTACCCTTATCCAAACAGATTTTAATGCGTTAAATATCTCCAAGATGCATTATTATGATGGTGTCACTAAGACAAAATATAGCAGAACTACAAAATAGAATTTGCACTTTTCATCCCCTTTATATTAAAGTTATTATAATGTTATATCCAAAAGTTACAGCTAAGTTCGAATCTGAACATGATTTCTCAAGATAACGCCCCAAAATAACCCTTGTTTCTCTGCTGCTATTTCCACAACCAAATAAATGGCCAATATGCTTGTCTATTTATGACCCTTCCTTATTGAAAGATGCAGAATGAACTGCAAAATAATTAATTCTAAAGAGCACAAAACCGCCACAGCTTATTGATGTTCTACAAATATCAAATGAAATATGACAATTTCCTAAAGTTTTATAAATGCCCAAATACGAAAAAAAAAAAGAGATAAATTTATAGACCGGTTTAGATTTCAGAAGAGTGAAAACGTAAATGTGGCAATACTAACTCCACGATTTGCAATTTACAAATGACGTGTTTCGATAGACTTCGTTTGATCTTATGTTACTCAATGGACATTCATTTTAAAAAGATTCAACTAAATTATTACAAATGGGAGTCATATCAATAAGCTTCAGAAATACATGTGTCAATTAATGTTTATTACTGAGCGACGTTTCGATTTGGTTTCTCTAAGTTGTATCATTGTTCGATAGAGACAAAAGAAGCTCAGTAATTGTATTCCATAGAAACGTGTCTTGTATAATTCCAGCCCAATTACTAAACCCCACAGAAACAATGAGATGTGTGGGTCGGGAGGGGGCAAATTCAAGGATACTGCTAATAGCACCTTTATTGAAACGCTGCAGTGGCGTAACCAGACATTCCGAAAGGGTGTGTGTTTTTGTGTGTGTGTGTGTGTGGGGGGGGGATAATAATACTAATACACACAAAACCAATTTTAATTACCAGGTCAGTTTTTGGCTGTGGTGTCTGGTATTGTGGTAAAAGGAAAATTGACAACCCAGCGCCACTCACTCTGTCTGCCTCTAAATAAATCAACGCCACTAGCAGGATGAACTTACCCGAAGGTGATACATGTAAACGGATGTATCTCAAAATACCAAATGTCATTTTTGAATACATTCGACAACGGTTAACTTACAACATTCAGCTCTCGGTCAATGTTCTGACTTACTCTGACTTACTAAAACAATGTATATTTCAAATGCGTCCCTTTCTGGATAATGTGTCTGCTGGTTCAGTCGGTTTATAGCCTTCAAATTCCCTCACCATGAACAATACAATGAAGTCGTCAATGATACAATTCAACTCACTTTAACAATTTTTCAAATGTACATTCTCTGAACTACTCCAGGGTTTCGTCTGTGTTGAAGGAAACGGGAAAACCAGACGACACCTCACGCGCGCTCGCACGAGGGTAATCATAATAGAGTGACCGTTCCTTGTTGTCATTCAATTGTCTAGCCTGGAGATAGCCACGTGTTCATCACCAGTTTATTTAATTGTATAATAGCCAATCAGTGTTGGTTAATTAAGTACTTTACATTATTATTGTCCATCTATACATTTTGTGCTATTCCCCAACTGGTCACTGAATGGATCTATTCTGGACCTCAGGTCATCACGCCCAATAATTACATATTTTGTGTTGTATGCAGTTGCCCGGTTATCCAGTGTTTGATGCAGGTGTTAATGAAACAAATGTAAAGTGATATTCATCCACTCCCTTTTCAGTCTCTAGGACAATGTCTTTTGTATCTTACTGTTCGGGTACTGTTAAATGGTGATGACATTCCTTCTAATCTGTCAAAATGAAGAAGTCTGAATAGTTGACCACATAATTAGTATGCCGAAACGATGTGCAACGGGGATGTATTTCATGATAATCGATTCCATAACATCTTCAGTGCTCTTATCAGCCCCGGAGGTCATTAATAGAAGGAGTTTTATCATTGTGAAAATGGGATCCACAATAAATAACAAAAAGTCACCATATATGTACACATGGATATTAACAATAATAATTAAATATCAATATAGTACCTGTAATGAAGAATTCAATGATATAATTAAACTTAACAAATTTAAAATCTGTCTGTTTTGTTTTATTTTGAAAGACAAAGAATCTTTTTTCGGCTGAGTTACTATCCCTTGTAACTTTTGGCATCGCTATGACTTCCATTATCATTCGCCCTGAAGAAACCGCAACGATCGAAAGTACTCGGCGCAACCCGTCTTCATTAGCCCAGTTCGGAGCAAAACAGTAGGACGTTAAACCCCATTTCATTTCATTTTCACTCGGCGCAATGTGATAAATTTATTAGTTTTTTTTAATCATATATTAAAATGGCCTGACGATTCGTTTGATAACGATGAAAGTACTAGCCAAAAATTTAATTTTTAGTGTTTTTTCTCTAATACTTGAATTTTATTAAGTTTGAAGCACTTATCTTTTGTTTTTTCCTAACACTTTTTATTCATTAAATATTTACATAATATAAAGATACAGCAAGTAATTATGAGATCCGAAGACAAGCCTGAGCTTAAAGCCTTAAGTGGGCAGAATGCAATGTCGCGCTTTGCGCCACATGTTTAGACATTTCAATTCGGTTTGCATAATCATACTCATAATGCTCAATCGACGTCACTTGGCTCAGATATGCTACATGTTCCACCCGCCCGAAATGTCTTGACATAGGGAGGAGAGACACTCCCATCCACCAACAATATAAGGTATAAGAAAGATGATTATCAGTACTTAATTTATTGCAATTGGTATCCCATCTTAGCTCTAGACCCGACATAAAGGTAGAACTTGTGTTGTGGAATTATTTTCAAGCATAGACGTAAAACGAATTTTCCCGATTTTGTATTCAGTTTAATCTGTATATTACTGTCATTATAACATATTATTGTATTTAAACGAATTTCTTATTTCAAGCCATGGCGATATATGGAAAATCACAAAGATTTAATCAAATCCCCGACTTTCAGACGATTAATAATATAAATATTACAAATAATGAAAACAAAACGTCGTACCAGTGACCCAGTGAAACACTTGAGAATTAGGTCAAATCCTCACCTATTCTTCAGGTAAGAGATTAATAAACTAATCTGTTTAGGCTAGGTCGGGTCGAGCCAACAAGGAATACATAACATATTTAAAATAGAAATACAGCCTACCTAAGAGTATTTCTAACGGCAAAATATTTAGATTAGAAAAACATAACCCAGTTTAAGACGTTACGTGGACTTACTAAATAGTTAAACCAACTAGCTGTAAATAGGCGATGAACTCACTCTTTGCTGACCAATCATCAAGCGATATTGATTTTCCCGCCCATTTAGCAGTGCCTATATTAACACGTGCTGGCATTAAAATGTCCATTTCACCTTTGATCTGTCTCCTTACCTTGTTCGCAATCTCTGATTCCGTATTATATTTTAAAGGGATCTTTTTATTTTAGTTGATTTTAAAAATGGCTAATATGTTCCACGTGGAAAGGATTTCATGTGTCAACTGTAAACGGTGCCAGTCTTCACCGATATCAGAAGTGGTCGTTCGTCAAATGGCGGGAAAATTAAGAAGAATAGGAGACGATATGCATAACAGACGTTTTTCTGTCCATGAACAGTTTTTGGTATTTTTAAGGAGATTAACAGCACCTCTGGGATTCAATGTAACTATTTGGAACTGGGCTCGACGTATACCTTTAGTTAAATAACTGTTTAATAGAAGATCTTTTTTTAGTGTTTAAGGTAAGTTAGCAATACATTTTGTTTTTCTTACTGTTGCTTAATTATTAATTTAAACACTTTTAATAATATTCTCTACTTAATTCATACATTATTTAAAAATGATTTTTATAACCTATTTAACATCAGATAATTATTAATTTATAACAACTATTGCCTTTATTTAAACACTTATTTTAAAAACATGGCTAGTGCTTTAATGTTTAATATGTTCTCTATATTTCAGAAACAGTAAATGTGCTGAAGAATATAACGGTGAATATTTAAGACAATAAAAAGAAAAACGTGATAGATAAAACAAATCAAGTGATATTAAGGAACTCTTTACATTCTGTTTGCGGTGCCAAAGATTTTGAAGAACGTTCCTGATGTGGATATGTGTTTTGACTTAATTTAGTAATTATAATTATAATTATACAAATAAAAATTCATGTCCAAACATATATATCAATCTTTTCTTATTTATATAATTTTAAATTCTGATAATTTAAATTTCATCGAGGGGTAAAATAACTTAGTTTTTCTTACCTATTTAAGCTTATTATTTAAAATATCTAATGCCGAGTACTGTTATTTATTATGCTTATAGATCAATTCCTGCATTATATATAGTTTATATTTAAAGAAAATATACATTCGTGGCACGCTTTATCAGTAATTATACAAATTAGAATTTTATAATGTTTAAATATATTTATTTATATATTATTTTATGTTGTATTGTGAATTATAATCATATTTGATTTTCAAAATGTTTCGTGCTTGTTGTGTCAAATGTATTATATAATTGTAGTTAAAGAAAATGATGGCCATGCTCTTTCTCACAAATAACAAGTATTATTTATTGTGCTTTCATACACTATGTACATGTATAAAGCCATAAAAAATAAAAACAAATATTGACGTCCATTTTTAAGTTTGTTTCTTTCGTCAGAATGATAGCTTTAGTATTTTAGTTGGACAGGATATAGACGTGTTCCTATTAAAGCATTTCTTTACA